ATATTGTCAGGAGGAACCAGTCACTGGAGAAGGATATCAAGTTTGGTAAGGTGGAGGGTCAGAGAAAAAGAGTAAGACCCCCAATGAGATGGATTGGCCAAGTGGCAACATCAATGGACTCAAGCGTGGCAACAGTAATGAGGTTGGCCCAGGATCAGGCAGTGTTTCGTTCTGCTCTGCATAAGGTCACTATGCGTTGGTACTGACTTGATGGCATGTAACAACAACTCATCTGTTTGTCATTTCATCAGACATTTGTCAAAACTTTCGTTTAAGAAACAATTAAATCAATAATTTTTGTTGCTGTTTTGACAGCCATGGATTGTGTCAGGAAAAGATGAACCAAAGGCAACATGAACTCATACGATTTAGGGGAGTAGACAAGAATATCAGGCTGAATCATAGACATTTAAAAACACAATTAGTGGTTTTCTTATTTTTAAGTCCATATTGTTGTTGTTGTTCAGTACTGTATGGTCAATTGTGACTCTTAGCGACCATGTATAGGGTTTATGAGAAGAAGCTGGTGGATTTGAACAGCCGATCTTGTGGTTAGCAGTCAAATGTTTATCCTACAGTGTCAAACCAGGATTCTTAAGTTGTTGTTATTGTCAAGTGCGATCAAGTTGGTTCTGACTCATAGTGACCCTGTATAGGATTTCCAAGGAGCAGCTGGTGGGCTGGAACAGCTGACCTTGTGGTTAGCTGTCCAGTGCTTATCCTACAGTGCCACACCAATACTCCAAGTCCATGTAGTGGGCTGAAAAATAATGAGTTGGGAAAAGTAGAGGACTTGGGGTCAGAAGATCATGGTTTCAGTTAAGTTGGTGTGATCTTGGACCAGTCATTTCTCTTCTAAGACAAATGTTCCTTACTTAAACCTTAAAATTGAGGCTCAAACAAAAAAAACCCCTAAAATATCAAAGACACTCCTTTCAGGGATATCAATTTTTGATAATTAATATGTACTTCTTAAAGGTTTTTTTTTTTTTTTCAAATAAAATAATAACTTTTATTTTGGTGAAAATATAAGTAATCAAACATTTGTCATTTAACATTTTTTACATAATACAATTCAGTGACCCTGGTTACCATCATCATGTTGTGAAACCATTAACATTATTCATTTCCAAATTATTCTACCACCATTAATGGAAACCTAGTGCTCCCTAACCAACCCACTACCCTGTAGAGGGTTTCCAAGGCTGTAAACATTCAAAGGGGCAGGAAGCCTCATCTTTCTTGTGTGGAACATCTGGTGGGTTTGAAGTGTCAACCTTGCCATTAGCCATTCAGTGTTTATCCTACAGCAACACCAGGGCCCTTTACCTAACCAAAGACTCCCTTAAAATGCCTTGCAATGACAGCTTTTCTTAAAAACAAAAAAAGCGTTTCCTTACAAGTTTGCTTTTTAAATATCTTATTTTGTGTTTGATGAAGGTTTACACAGTAGTGTAGGTGTCCATTCAACAATTCTACACAAATTGCTCAGTGATACTACTTATCTTCATTAGGTGTGAACATTCTCATTATTGCCTCTCTGGTTGTTCTGTTTCCATTAATTTAGTTTCCCTGACCCCATACAGTCTCATCTTCATTTTTTTTTTTTT